GCAGCATTTTGTGTGCCAGAAACATACTCATACTATTTTTTTTAAATCTCCTTTTAAAAGGGAGTCCATGAATCACAAAAGCATAAAAACCTCCCGACTACATGATCCCTTCCGTCTCTATCATGTGTAAGTCAGAGGTCCTAAGGCACGCAACATTTTCTCTTTCCCTGAAGAGGAAGTTAAAGACCAAATGTTCCTGTGCCTGTTATTCAGCGACAATGAAGAGATATACTCTGACAGACCCTAGAAACTGTGCCACAGCAATTGAAAAGGTTATAGCGAAACCTTTTCTGCCTCATGAGATAATCAGCCCCCTCACTGGAAATGTTCCAACAGAAGATGAATTATCATCTCTACAGGATATGAGATAAGAAATTTCTAAAGTTACATGAAGAAGTGGTTTCTGGGATGCCTTCTGAGTCAAAGTGAGAGCTAGAGTCATGCTCTTCCTTGCCTGAATAACCTTCCCGCATTTCATCCCTCTCTCATCTTGACATTCTTCACACGGATCCTTCTTTGCTCTTGGTTTAATTAGTGATTGTCTCCGGCATCCTTCCGTAGCTCTGTGTAAATGCCTGTTTCAGCCCTCAACACATCCAGATTCTATCTGCAGAATTGTATTTCCTCAATTCCCGTTTGACTTTCAGTTCCTTAAGACAAGAGACAGTGTTTCGTGTCTGCATATCTCCAGTGCCTTGCAGTATTTAGTATTTAATACGCATTCAGGACCTTCCCCGAATATGGGCCTAGAAGTTGACACACCTCATTAATCACTCTAGGCTTTCGTTTCCCATCTGTACATGGAAGAGTTGCCTGGACATGCTTGGCTCTCCTTCAGATCCGACACTGTGAGTAGCACGTTAGTGTTTGCCTGACTCCAGGCAGCAAACACATCTATGTGCCACTTATCTCCACGACATACGCTGGAACGTAGACGTTTGTGCATTTGCTTTTCAATTCCATGTATATTGATCTTGAACAAATTATCGTTTGAGAGCTTTATGACAGTTCCTGTCATAAATAGAAGAGCAGAGAGGCTCACTGCTGTAATAAACTTGAATATGAAATCACGATTCTCTGAACCTCTTAGACCCAAGCTGATTACAAGTCTGACTCCTGACTGTTGGGAGCAGCAAGTATTAAATGATGGCAACTGAGATTTGGGGCCACCTGGAAGATTCTTTAATGCAAAAATGCACCCTTCTTTAAAAAATGAAATTATTTTCATATACTCCAGGTCTAATTATATATAATGATGACCACATTATTTCTCCTAATTTTGCTTACTTCTACCAAAATGAAAAATCAGTCCCCTGTAAGCCTCCTCCAAAGACTCTCAGGAAGCCTGAGCCCCTTGTTCTCTGAACATCCTTACCATTCTTAAAAGCTGCATTCCCTGTTCACCATGTGGCAGCCTTTGTTGAAAGCTTAGAAGGGTCTTCAATGACAAAGTTTGCTCAGGTGCTGTTCAGAAAATGGCTTCTTAGAATTAAGGAGGGTGTTCAACTAACAGAGTCTAATTTATCACCTGAGAGCCCCTTCCAGTGGCACTGAGATCCATGTAGACGCCGACCCAGACCAGCACACAGGGCTGTCTGTCTAAAGCGTTCTTAAAGCAACTCTGTTTCTCAGTGCTATATGCAGAGCAGCACCCCTTCACCCTGCCCAGAGCAAGCTGCTCAATCAATGAGCAGCCCACCGACCACCCAGATGCCTCCACCTTCTGAGAAGCAGCCTCTTCCCTGGCAGATCACACCGAAGAGCACCTGCTGACATCTGTATGAATTCCAGGCACAGATGCGGACTGCAGTGCAGCAACTCAAGGGTCAGCACTTGGCAGGGATGGAACAAAACCAGAGTGGAATAAACATCAGAGCTCTGCAGGCGTTAGTTCGCCCATCTGGCCATGTTCTCTGTGATGAGACTCCATAGAAAGCCAGGAGATCAGTGAGCGTGGCTCAGGTAGGAGGCTGCTCCAGGTCACTCAGGTTTGGTTTTCTCTGTCTCTTAAAATCTAAATAAGCTTTGGTTCTGGTTCCACACTCTGCGGAAGTCTGAATTCTACACTTGCTTGGTAGCTGAGAGTCTTTGCCTCAGCTCTGGCATCCACGTGTGGTGTCTTAATTCTACAGTGTTAGGGGGTGGGGATTTAGCTCAGCGGCATAAGTGCCTACCTTGCAAGCAGGCAGTCGTGAGTTCGATCCCCGGAACCAATAAAAAGGAAAAAGACAAAAAAAAAATTCTACAGTGTTTCAGTTTACTCATTTAAAAAGCAAGCATGTACTAATAAAAATGAAAAACAATACTGCTCAGGAGAAATGCGTTGCTTATCCTGTATGGTATAATCAGTCTGTATTAAGCTCTCCTGTTCTCTCTCTCTTGCTCTCTTTCTCTCTGTTTGTCTTTCTCATCTTTTTAAGCCGAGAGCTTGCCATGTAGTTCAGGCTGGCATTGAGCTCACTTTGTAGCCCAGGCTGGTCTCAAACTTACAACGATCCTCTTGCCTCAGCTTCCCGAGGGCTGAGACTACAGGAGTGCACCAGGATGCCCGGCTTCTCCTGTTCTCTTAAGGCTTGCTACTCAAGGTACACTCGGAGAACCAGCAATACATCTTACCTCAGTAACACATCTAGGAAACACAGACTCTTCAGTTCATCCCCAGAGTTGCTACATCCAACATGTAGCTAGTAAAACCCAGATGCTTCAGCCCATGAAGTGTGAGGAGTAAAGACCTAAAGTCCTTTTCTAACTCCTCACCATGGGAGGACTCCTGGTCCTTTGCTATCCTACCTCTCATCTTTGCTCTCCACACCTGCCTTCCCTCTCATTTTTTCTTTCATGTTCTCCTTCCTTGTCTGGAGATACCAACAAATTAGTCTCCTGCAGAGCATCATTTTTCTCCAAAGCCTCAGAACTGGTCACTACATGGGCCCTAATCACCTACCAGTCCTGTCTTGCCCCAGGCTTGTCAAAGTGTTTGTCCCAGCAGGGTCCCCCTGTAAAAGGATCCAGTATTACAGTAAAATAACCTCACTATCTCAAACATCCAAAGTTCTGCAAAGACAGCTTATTTCTAAACCAGCTGGATTCTGGGCTGTCACACAAGTGTTAGACCCAGGAAAACTGGGTTCAGACAGGAGAGCAATTCACTCGGTCTCTTGGTCATTATTGGTAGAAGCAGAACCAGAAAACGTCTTACACTTTGATCACCTGTGCTCGCTACCACATTCCTAGTCAGAGCTTCCAGCCTCCCTGGATTATCTGGGAAGGAGGTACCTACTGAGCACCAGCTGCATGCCAGATGCATTTATCATAGATCAAAAGCAGTAAATCAAAGACAAACCACTCCTTCCCATGAGCCAACCTCCACCAAGCGATCAAGAAGAGACTCAGCAAGAAGACAACCCATGCCCTCTTGAGAGCCAGGTGGTCTGTGGGCTGCGGGAAAAAAGGGGCATTTTACCCACCCACCCCGCCCCCAAGCAACTCAGAGGATCAGGGTGAAACACTGCAGCCTGCAGCTGCTGGTCTGGGCATCTCTTTGGAGGAAGGCAGTGTGCATTGTGGCAACTGTGGGGGATTTCCTCCTGTCTCGTTTTTGAAATCTAATGTTTTGTTCCGTTTTACTGTTTTATTACTGTATGTGGTGACCTGAGAAACTATTTTGAAGACAATATGTAGCATAACAACCATTGTTAAATTACTATCATCTATATTGCTATTATTGTTTATTGTTATCATTTTGCTTTAATTGTTGGTGTTTTTAGATTTGTTTGCTTCTTAATTTTTCTGTTTTGCCTTTTTTCTCTTAAATTAAAAAATTTTAAAAAGCAGGAACCAGGTTGTTTACCCACAGTGCCTGCCTTTGCCCAAATTCTTCCTTCAGTCTAAGATCTTCCTTCCCATGTTCCTGACTGGCAGACTCTTACATGTTTTTGGGAACCAACAGCTGGGTCCTTTTTGATTTTTCCAGACTACCTTTTCTGTGTAGACACACTGTCACATTTCTTCTATGATAGGGTAAGTCTCTGTCCCCATCTACATAGACAGTTCCTCAGCAGAGGACCTGAATTCTGTGGTCCCCATTCTGTACTAGTTCTCAGCAGAAATTCAGAAAATATTATTCTCCCCCTTACTGTCTTTACTACAAATTAGTGATAGTGACATTAAATCAAACAAATCCTGTGCTTCAGCCCTTCATCCTCGAGCTCCTGAGCCTTTTCTGACCCTGCTGCCCTTCTGAGCTGCCTTACGCCCATCCATGTCACTCTGCTACTCATTTCTAGACCCGGCTTCTCCTACACAGCCTTCTTTCATGCTGCTGTTTCTCAGTGGTTGCAGCTTTTCCTCCAGTGGTGGTCACCTTTTGAAAACCATCCTGCTGGCGGGACCTTATCTGCAAAGGCAGTGTGGGTCTGACTCCTTAGCTGGGGCAGCCAGCAGCACTATTGCACTTCATAGGTGTCTTTTCATCATTGGTGAGGTCCTTTGCAAGTAAGTTTTTCATATAATCATAAAGGTTTGGTACTGGTCTTTTTTCACTAAGTGGCACACATTCAAAGTCATCCCCACAACCACCCTCAGGTACACTCTGCTGCGCCTCCTATAAGAGGTGAAAAAGGGTGGAGTTTTGGGTAGTTCAAGAATCACACACACACACACACACACACACACACACTCACACACACGTGTGGGGCACACACACCCCAGCAAGGTTTTGTCTCATGTAAAGTCGTGTGGCAGTCTGTCAGCTGTCTCTCAACAGTGTAAAGATTAGTCTATGAATTTCTTTTTGGCTCCATCAACCCTTAAGCTATAAAGTGGTGTAAAATGGGAGGACTTCTCCACTATCTAGAGAAAAGACCATCCCGGAAAATGTGAATCTCTAAACCCCTCCTGTGATATGGGAGCTCTTCCAAAAACTTCAGTCCAACTCAAGGACTCTGGAGCAAGCAGTATGCTTTAAACCTTTTCCTCCTCCTCTTTTGCTCGACTTCCAGAAAGCGGGAAGAAGAAAACAAGCGGAAAGAAGCAGAACAGCAGAAAGGGTTGAGCCCAAATTGCTGCAGACCTCCAGCCCTTCCCTGTCTTCTCAGTCCCCTGGATGAGCCCAGCAGGCAGAGCAGGGACCCAAGGAAGCAGCCATCTGCCAGCCACCAAGCCCAGGGCCCGGAGCCAGGAGACGACAGAAGGTCTCCAGGCAGACCCCGCCAGGAGGAGCAGAACGTCTCCTCAGACCTGCAGGGAACAGACTCCAGAAAACCAAACGGTAGGTGTGTGCGCTTTGTTAGCTAGTGCCAGCCCAGGGACGGGGTGGCTTAGGTGTATGCAGGCACTTGCATTTAAGGCAACTACTAGCGCTTAACTACCATTTTCTGATTCATTTTGTTTCCCATGGTTCTCAGTCCTCTGTTTCTTTTTTCTTCCTTTTGTGCTGGTTACTAGAACATTTTTTAAGATTCAGTCTTGATAGGTTTATTATATTTTTGAGTGTAGCTCGGAGTAGGTGATTCACATTAGTCTTAAGAGTCATGTCCTGGAAGAGTCACACCTGAAGGCCAGTCAGCTCTACTGTGAACCTGGTCACAGTCTGCCAGGGTGGCCTCACATCCTGAAAACTCCATGTTGTTTTGGTTTCTAATAACCAGTCCTGTCCGTTCATTATACTGATACTGTTGGTGGAGTTGGCAGATTGCTCTTATGAGGTGGTAAGATAAAGCTGTCTTGTGTTATTGTGGTTTGGGAGAGTCTCAGGAGAAACTGCTTCAAGGACCAGCCAGGCATTTTCTTATTCTCATTAATTGTAGTGTCAGAATCGGTGGCTCTGACTGGTCTGAGTACAGCAAGACCCTACAGTGGACACACATAAGAGCTGAGGCAGCAAACTCACTTACTTCCTTCATGCCAAAGACTCTTCCTTATTCCACTTACATGTATTTGTTTATGTCCTCATTTGGATGTGTCAAATGCATCTCAAACTCCACCTATCCAAGGCAGAACAAATGCACTCACAACTATAGCATCATACAGTGCAGTTTCACTACCAAAAAACCCCACTGTGCTCCACATATTTATCTCTCTCTCTCTCTCTCTCTCTCTCTCTCTCTCTCTCTCTCTCTCCTAACCCCTGGCAACAACTTACCTTTTTCACTGAGTCTATAATTTTGCCTCTTGTAGACTGTCATATACAATTGGAATCATATACTCTGGCATTTCCAGACCCTTCTTGACTTGATAATAAACATTTAATGTTCCTCAATGTCTTTTAAAACACAACCAGAAGATATTTAATAAGACCATCTGTTGCCCACCCCATCACTACCACCCATGTAGACAGTGGCTACTTAAGCTCATGCATTTACCACTCTGACTTTCAATTTTCTCTGCTTTTGGCTCCTAGAGATGTTCTTATTTTCTTGAAATTGTGAGGATGCTTTTTTTTGTTTTGTTTTGTTTGTTTGTTTTGGTACTGGGACTCCAGCTCAGGACCTCAAGCTTGCCAGCCAGGTGCTGTGCCGCTGAGCCCTATGACAGTGCTTTTAAAAGGATGTGCTTAACATCTTGGTCAGCGTTTCTAGTATTAGTAAGGGCCTTCAGGGTATCTATCATGTTGCTGGAAAGAGAAGTTGAACAGGATTTTGCAGTCATACTTGTTATAGTACAAGACTATTTTAAAAATGTGAACAAACTGGCATAAGTGCCCTACTATGTAAATCTTGGACAATAACTATTGTCCCTTTTGTCTCCTTAAGAAACACCCAGGGAACATTCTAGAGGTCACTCTGCCTGTGTCCACATCAGACCCAATGAAAGCAGCACCGGAGGCCGGCGTTCGGTAGCCGCCTCTGTTGAGAAGTCCAGAGGTGAGGCAGCCATGCATCGATGTGAGAAGGGGACAGGTGTGTTGAAGCAGCCCTCCTCCGGCAGGGTGTCTGGGTCTGATAACAAAGGGGAGAACCCCAGCCGGCCGACTGCAAGCCTTGCACCGCAGGATGGACACTGGAAGCCCAGCAGACGGCATGACTCAGCACTCAAGGCCCTAAGCGCGCCCCAGAAAAGGCGCACTCAGGAACTCAGAGGAAGGTGCTCCCCGGCTGGCTCAAGCCGGCCTGGCAGTGCCAGGGGTGAGGTGGTCCAGGCTGGACAGAATCCTCTCCACCAGCGCACGTCAAGAAACAAAGTGACACAAGACAAGCTCGCAGGAGGGGCCTATTCAGATTTATCAGAGAACACAAAGGAAGTGAGGTCAGGAGTCAGGAAGCTGGGGCCTGCTGCCCTAACTGAGAACATTCAGGTGTCTAAGGAGCCGGCTCTGGCACCTGGTCTCCTCTCTGGGCAGAGTGTGAATATTGACCTTCTCCCTGTAGAGCTCCGGCTGCAGATAATCCACAGAGAAAGAAGTAGGAAAGATCTGTTTCGCAAAAAGAACAAGGCAGCAGCTGTAATCCAGCGTGCCTGGCGAAGGTAGGAAGCGGCTCTGGACATCTTTGGTTCTTTGGTGGTTACTGATACCCTTGCATGCTTTGATGTCTTCTCAGTGAACTCCTGTGGAGCCAGCCCATGAAATTCACACTTGTACATGCTTGTGATTTATATTGTGTGTTATAAGTTATGTGTACAGTGTTTTTGCACAGAAAGATAGGAACATACTCAGAATAGTAGGGGGTGAAGGAAAAAGTCCTGGTTTGGAATCCACAAAGCTTGGGTTTCCAGTGTCGCTCTACTAGGTTGTCTGAATTTAGACAAATCATTTGGCCCCGACCCAGCCTATTTCCTCAGGAGTAAAATAGGATTTAACAATTTGCTGCATGTGTATATGATAGGTTGCTGGAATTCATTTATATTTTATAAACCCTAAGGAAAACACAACTTTTAAAAAAATTTTTATGTAACTGTCAACAAATTAGTCATATTCCAAATACCTGAACCAGGCTTAGATATAGTGGATTGAATAGCTGAAATTTATTATAGAAACCTGGTGGGAACCTAGTCAAGCTCAAAATATGGGTTAGACACTGGGACTTAGGGTGGAAGTCGTCCTAAAAGATTGGATCCATGTTCCAGGATGGTAGAGACAGACACTTCCACAATGGAGACAGACACCTCTTGGGAGGACTGGAAAGTTCTTTGCTCCTAGTTTTTGTGTATCTCCTACTCTCCTTCACACCCCAGATCAGGTCTTCCAGTGATGACAGTTCCCAGGGGCAGGATGGATCCATGGCCAAAGGCACGAGTTCCATGGCTTCCATCTCAGGGGCTTCCATCCCCACACACAAGTCCAGCATCAAGGCCCATTTCAGCAGAAACAGAAAAACAGGCCAAAAGAGCACGAACACTGGCAGGAAGAAAGGAGAAGATAAGTTCCTGGAGGCCCAGGGCACGGGGTCTGTGGGAATAGTATGCCAAAACTATCTCACTCACAGCCAGGTGAGCTGGCTGTGCTTGTCCAGTCTTTGAAAACTGTGCCCTCATATCTGCTTGTGCTTATGTGATCTCCCAGCCACATGAGAAGCCATCATGACAGGCACTGTGTTCCCATTTTCTTAGACAAACAAACTACTCAGAGGAAAAATGTCTTGTCTTTGTGGCACGGACCCAGCATTTGAACCCCTGACACATTTCTCAAGGACTTTTGCTTACATTATAAGTAAAGTGGGTTTTTTTCACTCTGGACAAGGTTATGCCAGTGGCTGCAGCCTCTCGTTACTTGTCTGAGAGGGGGCTGAACAAGGACTGCCCAGAAAGCACATAGAGGGAACAGTCTCAGAGTGGAAGGTTGCTGTTATTACCACCGCCATTCACACCAGCAGTTACTATTCATTGGGCACTTGTGCCAGGCACTGTGTAAAGTAGCTTTACGTAGACTCATCCATTGACTCCTCACAGTATTCCGTTGGGTAGTGCTGAGCTTATCCCTATCCCAACGATGAGGCAACAGAAGCACAAAAAGGCGAAGCAGCTTCCTAACCCGAGCTGGGAGAACTGACCCCAGAGCTGACTTTGAGCCCAGACAGTCTCCCCTTGAAGCCCCAGGTGGGAACAGCCACTGCTCCCTTCCCTGGGAGCTGAACATGCGCTGAACACCGTCCAGAGCAACTTATTGTGAAGTATTCTGGCTGAAACCTGGGATCTAAACAAGCCAGAAGGGTACCTCAGGAGGCCCCCCGCTGCTTCCTAACTAAAATGTTTCCCTCTTAGACTGTCTGTTGTTTGACTCCTTTGAAGAGTTGGTAGCTGACATTTGCTGTCAGTAAGTATCCGAAGCAGCAAATGAGACTTGGGTCACTCCCATCAAGAACAGTGAGCTCACAGTCTGGTGCCATCTGGAAGGCAGTTACACAACCCCACCCCCACGCTGCACCACTGTGCAGTTCTGAGGCCTGGGGACACTGACTCAAGTCTTGTGGGATGCCCCATGTGGAATGCTGCACCTGGTAATAGTAAAAACACTTTCACTGATTCTGTTACTATTTTAACAATATTCCCCATATTATATTTTTCATTGCTGTCCTGGAGAAGTATGTCTGACACCAAACCTAAGGAGCAGTGAGGGATGGGGTAGTGCACAGGGTTTTGGCATCAAGTGCTCAAGAAATGCAGGCTATCTTTATAGAGGATGTGTCCAGAATGGAGAAAGGGAGCTGTAACATACGTAAAGATGGGGTGAGTAGACTGATCTTTGAGCCTCAAGAAAAATGAAACTGAATTTTAAAATTGTGAGTTCTATTACTAATTAAGGCTTGACTGTTTTAAATTGAAAGAACACACTAGACACGCTAACCTGGGAAGTTGCTGCATAAAACCCTTGGTCATTCCCCAAACGTGGAAGCCACTTTGCTGTCATCTCTCGCTGTCTGAGATGGAGGAGGATGAGTGGGGCCCTAAGACCTCTGAACCCATGGTTCGGAGGAATTGATGGGCATGTTGGGATTCCCCACAAAACAGGAGAATACGTCCTCCTGGAGATGGGAGGCGGGGGACTGGTCCTGTGAACTGAAGACCATGGTGTTCCCTGGACACAGTCTCCGTCCCAGAACTGAATGAATGGAAGCTGTGTCCACTGCAAACTCAAGCTCCCAGCAGGCTCAGCCAATACCTGCTCCCTACCCCCAGCTCAGGTTCTCTACCAGAGAGCAGAGGGTAGGGGAAGACCCTTGGCAAGTCAAGAATGGGCCTGAATAAATGTCCCAGTTTGGTAAATACTATTCCTACAGTTTGAAATGCTACTCAAAGAAATATGTGTCCTCAGTTCTGTTATCTGAAAGCCTCTTCTCTCCTCTCCTCTGACCCCACCAGCTATCAGCTCAGGAAGCAGCTATCCCACCTTCTGCACCAGAAGCAGCTCGGAGCTACAGACACCGACAGATGGGAGCGAGAGTGCCTGGCACTGCTACTCGGGGTTTGGAGGAAGGAACTGGCACTTAAGCTCCCAAAGACCCCTGCAGTAAGCAGGACCCCCAGGAGTCCACCCAAGGGCATCGCAGGAACAAAGTCCACCAGGCACTCAGTGCTCAAGCAGATCTATGGTAAGTGTTCTTCTGAGCACTTTGTAGGTTACAACAAGCACACCCAGAGAGTAAGACTAGAAGGCAAATTTCCATTCGGATTAAACACAAAACGTTCCTATTCTAAAAACCAGGATGATTCTCAGCACCCTATTTAGTGCTGCCCAACACTTCTGGGTCAGAATTGGTTTGATGAGGCATTTTGGCGTCTAATCCCAGGTAGTCTTCCAGCCAGGACTCTCCTCTGGCTCCATGGCTGAAAGCCTGTCTTAACCTTCCAAACTTTGGCATGCGTGTCCCCTTCCTTACACCACCCATTTGGATGACTGTAGGATGACTGTAGACTCAGACCCTCTCTGCCTTACTCTGACTTTTCCTGTGCTGGGATAATACAAGGTTGCTCACCTATGAGAATGCCCAAGACCTTCCACTGCTATAAATGGGAACATTTTTAGTTCTGGAAAGAACCCATTCAAATACCCTCCAGCAGAAAACAAGTCTGGCTAGCTCCACAACAGCAAGGCATCATTAGAAAGATCTCCAGTTCACGCAGTAAAATATCAGAACTTTGTCCTGTCTTATAGAGAAAGAATCTCTAGCCCAACATTAGAACATTTCAGATTTTTTATTTAGGGCCAACCAGTTAAGTCTACCCAATATCCCCAAATCCAAAAACAAAACCTCCAAAATCCGATCATTTCTGGTCCTGAGCATTTCAGATATGAGATTCTCAACCTGTTTCCACACATGCCTAGCTTCCCTTGCTGCCAAGTAAGGAAAGTCACCTGCAAGCCCTTACCTCAGTAAGGAATTCAGAACTTGGCAGGCCACAGCTCTAATGAGTCAGACCTGACTGTTGTTGGTTGATTTCAGGTTGTTCTCAGGAAGGGAAAGTGTATCATCCCACAAAACCCTCAAGACCCCCTCCTGCGCTGCGTCTCAGTTCAGGTAAGGCAGCCACTGTTTTAGCAAAACAAGTGGCAGAGAAAACAGGAAGAGTTTCTGTTTTTAATTCAGTACTCGATGTGCAGGACATTAGAACAGAGATAGCCTGGGTTTTCGAATGGTCATGTATGCATGTTTTTACCCCTCTGTCATTGAATTATTACTGTAAAGCTTGTCTACATAAGACAAATTATTTTTCATCCCTAGAAACTATTATTACCTCTAGTAGAAATAAATGGTAACTAACACTGAACACCTCTACATACACATACAGAAGTTAAAGTATTTTCTTCAAAGAATGCATTGGGAGCCCTTATCCCATGCAGGTGTCACAGAAGATAATCCAGTGTCCTTACCAGAAACAGGAAGGCCGTCAACAGAACACAGGGGAGCACAGTCCCCTCAGGCACAGTGGTACACAGAAGCTCGGGGAACTTTCTTTTCAGCCACAAGACAGAAGTTTTACATAGGGCTCCTTCCTTCACACCAGCATTAAAAGTGGGTGATAAGTTCAGTGCTGTCAGCAGCTAATGCCAGGTCCGGCGTAGCTCACGGGTGGCCATGGCAACATGCTGCCCCCACCTTCCCTGATCCCCACAGTTATCCTGCAGGGACAGAGTGCAGCCGGCAAGGTGAACAAGGGCTGTCAGCATGATCTTTAACATTCATTTAGCTTTTGATGAGGGGAAAACCTGGATGTGGGGGACAGAGTAATTACTGTCACGGCTTTAATGCGAGTTGGGTAACTCATGTAACAGGCTGATCAGGAGCGGTTGCTGGGGAACTTAGTAACTTTCAAAGGGATCCAGGCTGCACAGTTCTATGTAAAGCTTTCCTTTATATCTGAGTGAACTGAAGAGTTTCGCAAAAATTACTGTCAGACACAACGATCAGAAGTATCACTGAGATGATTAATTATTATAAATTAAGACAGCAGGTCATTTTTCAGTGTGTTTAAAAGAAAAACAATCCAGGACTACCAGAAATCTTTCAAATTGGAAATATTTAGAAGCATAGATTTTAGTGAGAGGACAGAGTAAGCAATTTCAAAGAAATACTTAGCTTTTACTCATATAACCAAGCAACCTACACGTATTTCTTACCAGTTTGGAATAAGGATAAACAAGACAAGGATAGGGCTGGGGATTTAGCTCAGCGGCATTACGCACCTGCCTTGCAAGCAGGCGGTCCTGAGTTCAATCCCCGGTACTGATAAAAAGAGAAAAAAAAAAAAAAAAAAAAAGACAAGGATAAAAGAATCTTCCCCTAGCCCTGAACTTAGGGGAGCACAGGTGTTGCTAGGCCCTATCCAACCATTATTAAGCATCATTAAAGTTGGTTGGACAGACCTGCTGGCTATAGTTCATTTTATTCAAAAATGTCTATAAATGAAGTAACTTCCAAGAAATGGGCCTGACTTGGATTCATGTTAAGTTTTTGAAATACGGAATCACAGGTAACAGACTCACTGTTCTCCAATTCGAACTTTTTTCAGTGGAGCTAAAGATTCCCGACTTTGCTTATTGTTGTATTCCATTTTAGAGAATCATGTGGCAATTATCAATACTTGAGGAATAAATACTGATGCTCCTGCCTTCCAAACTGGGCTAACATTAAAGTTAAAATGAGAAACTCAGGAAAACAGCCTCCCCAGGCTGCTGCTCTTCACTCAGAAGATAGGGGCTGGTGATACAGCTCAGCAGTACAGGTGCCTGCCTGGCGAGCGTAAGGTTGGGAGTTCTATCTTCGGTACCAACAAAACAAAACAAAACAAAACAAAACAAAACAAAACACCCTCAGGAGACAGATAAGCAATCTCTACTGTACCCAACCTGCAACTCAGAGTATGGATATAACCTTTTATTCACACACACAATTCCTCTCTAATTCCTCTTTAGTGAATATTTAGAATGAACTATAGCTCAAGTTGAGTACTGGTAAGGGACCACTGCCATGAATCCAGAATACTCCTGTTACCTGCACAGGGGTACAGACACGACAATTCAAGATACAGTGGAGGCAGAAAGCATAATCCAGCTACTCAAGACACTGAGAGGCAAGAGTACTGCAGATTCAAAGTCAGCCTGGAACTTGGCCAAGACCTCAACATTTAAAAGGGGCCAGGAGGTAGCTCAGTGGTAAAACACTTGCTTAGCATTGGTTTATAATAGCCAAAAATCATGTCCAAGTTCTAAGCACTACTTTAAGGCATATTTCTTTCTGAAACTACTCACCTTTCATGTTTCTAAGGTTCATAGCAATGTGGCTTCAGGGAGGTCTCATACCCATTCAGACCTCAGTACCCTGACTGTCAAAGTGTACCCCTAATGTTTTTCAGCTGTGGTATCCTATAAATTTATTTCAGGGTCATAAAAAGGCCCCCCAAATCCATTTTAAATTTGCCACCAGTCTGTTACTGGTACTTCAGGATCTAAATAATTCTCCAATGTAGTTTTTTGAAACAGACCCACAAGAATTCTGGTATGTACTGTGTGTATGTTAAGTATGTTGTGTTACGTGAGACACATGTAGAGAAAGATGCATTAGTTACTCTAGGTACACTGAAAATGTAGGCTCCCAGTCCCAGCTCTTCAAACACCTGCCTCTTCCCAATCCAGGCACTTCCTGAAGTGATGTCCCCTATGTTGGAAATAAGGAAAAAATATAAAGCTACTAAGTCATCCTGCCTCTAGAGCAAAACAGCCAATCGCCTCATTGGGATCCAGAAACAGTTCAAAACTAAATCTATACCCTTATCACTAAAGAACCTTTTTCTTCAGTATTAAAAATAACCTGAGTATCTATCTGGTATTTGTTTTTAACAGTGAGCAACCTGCAGTGTATACATCTCCTTGGGAACACTAGAAGATCAAAGAACTTTTCTTACAATCTGCAATCAGCTACTCAATCAAAAAACAAACCAAAGCTTTGACTATCTGTGGAGGAAGACTGGAATAGACAGTGCAGAGTTCTGACTCTTTCTGGATTCTTTTACAGCTCGCGAACAGTTTAGCATCCTGACTAAGGCCTTTATTACCCTGCAAATGTGGTAACGAAGAAAATGTCCAGTTGTTTACACTCTGCCTTTACCCAGGATTGTTAACTCGTGTAAGCCTGCACTGAAAGGACTGTGACAGACCGTGCCCCAGGAGACTGCCTGTGTGCCTTCACCTCAGCATGGCTGGAAATGAGATTTGGTAATTCAGTAAGTGGAACTATGAATGTGAGCACCACAGGGTCTGCTAGGCTGAGATTTTGACAAGTAGCCAGCATGGGCCTGGACTCTTGGCTCAAGTGATAAAGCTAAGTACGTGGGATGAGGAGCCTGGCCCAAAGCAGCCACCGTTACACTATTTTCCAGATGATCTACCATAAAGAACCTTATGATGGATACATCTTCATTCATGCCAACATTATCAGAATAAGGACCCAGTATTCACACTTAGAAACTGTCAGAAGATCCCAGGTACATTCTCTTGATTCCTTACATTTTTCAGTTTCCCGTATTACCCTCTGAAGGCCACAGCTGGTGACCAGGACCTCCCTGAATTGCATTTTCTCTGCTGAGCACAACAGGAGTATCACAGCATCAAGCAAGGGGGTAGGTTTTATTTATACACAAAACCATGCACGCAGAGAGGTGCCAGCTCAGGTTTCAACAGCCCATGTGTACTTCCTGACCAAACTGCCAGGTGAGCAATCTTCTCAAGATGCCATTCCTAATAACAGGGAAAACTACACATGCTCTAAGAAAACTTATTTAAATAAAAAAATTCCAACGAGTACGGGCTCCTTCATTTTTAAGGGTAAGGTTATAGAGGAAATATAGATAGTGGCATCAGGCTCCCAAATATTTTTAGGGTCAGTTCTGTTTTTCTTAAGATCATACTACCATGTACTAATGGGTACACTGACTAGGTAAACATTTTTAGTTGAAAATTTAGGCATTATTTTTAAAATTATGAAAACACAAAGAATAGGTTTACCTTGATGGTATCATAGATTCAGTTAACTGGTTGATAAATACACAAATTACCACAATGTCACTGTGTTACTTTGTAAATGTCTAGCTCCTATGAAATGCAAAGAGCCTTACTACTTGTAACCATGTATCAGGTACTACTTCAAGCAGCCAGCCTCAGTGCAGTCTTGAGTGCAGACTTCAAACATTATTGTCTTATGCAGGCACAAAGGAAAGTTCACAAACAACTTCTTTAAAAGTTTAGCTTTAATGACAAACATCTATTACATCAGTCTCTCTTCAAAATAAGATAGATGTGAATACACAGTTTCAAACAAGAGGTACCACGGGGCCTCTTCAATACACTGAGCTCAATGCAGTCGGCCCCTGGGGATGCCCAGTGATATACACACTGAAGCAGTAATGCAAGTCTGTGAGCCACTGCTCCTGAACACCACCACTCTTCATCGTCTGCAGAGAAAGAGAGTAATTTGACAATTATACTTAAATCATTGCCATTCAGTAGCATTTTTACACCTAACTGATTTCTCAAAGCCTAGGCAACAGAATCACTATAAATCACTCCAGGAAGTCTGTCAAGAAAAAAGGAACTATTAATTGGGTATTACTATAGCAAGAGATGCCCTGAAAAATCCTATTCTAAAGTACTGCCAGTTTATTTGAGTCTGTTTCCCCCATGCATGTAAGACACTTAGGAAATTTCACCATTAACCATTTTCACACCCCTGCTCCCCTTTGCTGGGCACTCTAGTATCTCATGAATTCTTTGGACTAATACCAACTGCGAATCATTCTTACCAGGCCAACTGACAATTTCCACTAATCCCTTTACAAAGGTAGGCTGATTCTCCAATCTGGGAATCTTTCCTTCCACCATTTCAGAATTATTCCACTGCTACTTTGTATCTTCTAAAAAGATTCCTCAAAAACTTCAGAATGAATACCTATGTTATATGCATGTAAAAGCGCCATCACTCTAAAGGATAACTACACATCTACAGGATAACTACACCTCTATCAGGGGGCTGAGGCAGAAGGATCATCATGAGTTCAAGGCCAGCCTGAACTGCATAGCAAGACCCTGTCTCAAAAACAAAAAGAAAAAAGAAAAAGAAAAGAGGCAGAGACAGAAAAAGAAAACCCCCAAATACCTATACAAAACATTTCTTTAATCCTTTCAAACCAAAATTACCAGGCATCCAATAAAGCTGTCCCCCAAAAGACAAAGACAAAGGCAGAGGCCCCAGTAGACACAGCCAGAGGCGGCTCCACTGCCTTCTTTTCAATGTATCTTACTGTCCAGAGAACTAATGATTAGAAGTTAGCCTGGAGCAGACTCCTCAGTAACAGGTGACAGGAAGCACTCATAAGTGTCCCATGCATTAAACACTTTACTCAGACAATCCCATTTAATGGCTGCCCAAAAGCATGCAAAAAATGGCATTATTTCCATTTGTATAGTTAGGAAAACAAGCTTGACCAGATAAGGGAAAAATGAAAAAACTTGCCAGGCTATCACAATTAATAAAGTCTGACTACAGTACAGATAGGAATAACCCTGATGCCTGTACCTTTTCCAAACAAAGTACCTCAGATCACCTACACCAAGTTTGAGTATTTTAATGTTTTGTTTTGTTTTTTAAACTGGTTGTACAATCATGAGGCATCCCCTAGGTTAAGTCTTAGAGGCAGGACCTACACATTCAGAGAAGCTCTAAGACATGACCACACTGGGCTTTATTCCAGGAGTCAGTCCATGCGCAGGAACCCCACCTGCCCCAAAGCAGCCCCAGCCTTGCCATGAACCCACCCCTACACTAACAATACAGACGCCTCAGCAACATCTTCTTACAGTGATATTCTTGATGATCTGCTGCACCAGTATGGCATTGGTCAGCATGTGAGTCCTGAGGGGAGCGTGCTGCAGCAACAGGCGGAGCAGCTGGCCAACCACTGGCAGCTCCTCAGGTCCAACTCTGTTCACCCGCAGGCTCTGCAGCATCAGCCTGAGGACTCGAGGCAGGAGAGCCAGGATGGAGACACAGGAGCCCCACAGCTTGTCCCTACAACAATGGGAGACATAAATCAGAAAGCCCAAACACATGCAGAAAAAGTAACCTTTTTACATCCTCCAAAACAACCACCACCTTCTAGGAAATACGGCATTTTTAAATAAAACATGACAAACCAAAATTAAACCCAGGAACTGGGTTTCATCAGAACAAATAGGCAAATCCAGTGAGGAATTAGCCGCTCTCTCCTAATGTATGGGTCCCAGATGCTTAGCAACTAGCACTGTTCTAGGCTTACCAGGATCATTCTTGATTGATCATATAAAACACAGAAATAAAATAGCAAGAGACCAGAATGATCTGTACATATAAGTTTCCTATTAACTAACACTATCCAACTATTACACCATGTGAAAGACAACAGAAAAAGGATATCCCACGGGTAAAAAAAGAAGAAAAAGAATTCATGAAAACTTTAAGCCTATTAAGTGATGGAGACTGTTTAACATCTTAAGAGAATACAGCAGGTACAAACATACCAGTCTGGGACCAAAGTTTCAGGAAGTAGCCACTAAGAGGTCCATTACTGCAATACTAGCTCATGGGATGCCAGAGATAGTCAAAAAGTCAATAAATATCATTCTCTTGCTATCTTTATAGAGGAGGAGTAAAATAATGTTTATAGTTGAGACAGATTAACTTGTATAGCTAGTCTAACCACATTCTGCAAGAGAAACAATTAAATGAAACAAATGTGCAATAGCCCACACACTGCTTAAAGCTGAATTTTGTTGCAGCTTCTGTATCAGAAATGTACAACCCTTCAGCCCTAAAATTTTTCTAAGCAAACAAGACTACCTATCTGTCTAGATGGAGCAGCCCTGTAACCATATAACCAAACTCCCTACCTTCATACATAGCAATTCCACCTAAGATGGATAATGAACCCATTTTAGGCCAACTAGACCTTCTTATTAAAGGGCCTTTATTCAGTGTGTTGACTGACGCAGAACCAGGCAGGGATAGCCATGAGCAAGAAGCAAAGAAAAATCCAAACTGCAGAACTAGCTTACAATGAGGCAACAGCATAGATACTATATAACTTAGGTGAAAAAGAAGAATAAAGCTGCTTCGGTTTTTTTGGCTGAATTTGTAATACCTGCCCCCTTGTGTCATTTACAAGTGATTCCTTTAATGGTCCAATATACAGTCAAGGGTTACTTAATGGTAGAGATATACTTGGAGAAATGCATTATTAGTCAAATCCATTACTGTGTGAACAGCAGTGTACTCACACAAAACTTACAGTGTTGGTCAATCACTGTGCATGGGTTCATGACAATCAAAAGATGCAGTAAGTATGAGCTGTTAGGAGGCTGCTATTAGTATACTTGCTTTTACAGGTAGGTGAACACTCTAAAATGATTAATAACTATAGTCCATTAAATGCATAAGCCAGTAATAGGGTTTTACTAACAAGTATTATGTGTGGTACGTAACTATATGTGCTATATTTTTATATAACTAGCAGTCAATAGGTGTGCTTACACCACCATCACTACAAGCATTGAATAATATGCTGGACTATGACTTTACACTGGCCTCAGTGTCACTAGGTACTAGGAACTTTTCGACTCCGTTAGTCTTTTTTTTTTCCCTCCAGGGTGCTGGGGGTGGAACCCAAGGCCTCATCCATACTCGCAAGTACTGTACTCTCTGCTGCGTTCCCAGACCTCCATTATACTCTTCTGGGGCCATTGTATATACATCCTCGCTGACTATGACATTATTACGTAATATATGACTGTATTCATTTTCCAGCCTTGTTAATTTAAGCAGATTTGATAAAATTTCCATATCACAGAAACACTGGTAGAACTCAGAGATACAAAGCAGGTTAAAGAACTTGATGTAGGACTTCAGGGTGAAAATTTCAAACATCAATAGTGTTGGAAGCTAAGGGATTAGGCCTCAAATCTGAGAGGTAAAGATTTTGAAACAGACTCCTGCATTGAGTAGGAAAATGTGAAACTGTCCTATAAATCTCCAGAACTCCCACAAAAGATATACTTAGAGAAAAGGTGTACAACCTACACACAGCAATTTGTTCAGTCATATGAAAGACAATCTTCAGAGTTCTATTTGTTCTTCAAAATAAGAAAGAATATCCATACCAGAGGACAGAAGAAAGAATAAACTGACTGGAATTTTAAAGCAATAGCAATAAACCATGAACAAGCAAGAATGACAAACTGCCACGTATGCAAAAATCTAAAACAAGAAATAATCTGAAAGAAAACAAAATAATACTTACTGAAGTAAATAATAGGTTTAGTTTAAAGAATTAATGACCTGGAAGGTATTAAGAGAGAAGACAGAATTAAATACTCCTTATATTGAAAAAGAGGTATTAGAAAATAATAAAACAATGGGGAAAGAAGATAGAACTGATAATTGAAGACATTTGATGGGAAAAAACTGATTCTTTGTATTAAAGAAGCACACTAAGTCTCAAGCAGATACATAAAAAAATCTATTAAAGAAGGGCTGGGGATTTAGGTCAGTGGCATAAGGTAAGTGCCTGCCTGGCAAGCGCGAGATCATGAGTTCAATCCCTGGTACCAAAAGAAAAGAAAAAGAAAAAGGTGGGCTAGAAACCTATAAAAGGATCTCTAGATACAGAGCCAAGAAAGAGGACAACAGTATTTTCAAGGCTCAGAGGACACATTTCTAAACAATGTAAACTGATTACACCATTTTTGGCCAGCATTTGTGAAACCAATAGTTT